TATTTATTTATTTATTTATTACATTGTTTTATTTTTAATATTCGAGTATTAATAATACTAATTATTCCCAAACTTCTCAGTTCTTTTGAAGTATCAACAATTGCCTGCAATTTTGTTTAGCTCGAGTTTAAAAATACTTGAATGGAGAAGATTAGAATGCTTTGGGAATTGCATATGCTGAAAATTTGTAATCTTCGTAGTTAAACGTTATTCTGACAAATGTGGCTAGATAAAGATCGTTGTCAGTCATCAGTCATGACGTTCGTATATTTTCAGTTCTACGCGACTTCTTGTCGCCTTCCTGGTCGACTCACAATCGTTGATTCGCGGAGGAAACACGATTAAATAATTGATCTGAGACCTCTGTCATTGGAGAAATACGTATACGCAAAATCGAACGCCTTGTTCATCGAAAAATACGTCAAATGACACAAGTAGCACTTCATATCTAGATAACATAACACGTTGTCTAGACGAAATTAACTCGTAATTTATTAGCACCATATTATGTTTATTTTTAACGATTATTTAAAATTAATTCGACACCGATTGAATGATAATTCGAATATAAATTAACATCGATATTAACATCGTTTTGTTAAATTAGGATTAGATCAGTGACACGAGAAATTGAAGGAGTGTTAGAGGTAATTGCTCAAAAGTCCCATAAATCACAGGTATAGAATTTCTGCGTGTTCATAGCTACTTTTTATCTTATTTAAACCCGAGTTACCATTGTGTATTACGTAAATGCGTGGAGGGATTAAAAATGAGTAATTAGTAGTATTAAATAGTACGTAGGCAGGCTCTGTTGGATCAATCACTGTTTGATACTACTTTTCACTCTGTTAATCCTGTACTAACTGTACTAGACTTTAATGCCCATTACCATTTGTTTCAACTTCCACGTTTTCTGTTTTTCTTTTGAAAGGAGACTAGCGCAAATTTACTCACCTGTTATGACATATTCTGTGTATTCTGATCTCTCCGTTTTCGAGGAAAAACGGCTATGATAAATTATCGTCACTTGTTTTCTCTGCATTGTTACTTCTTTTTATGAGCCCTAGTAAACGACTTGTTCGTACACAATTGATTAGTCTGTTGAGTACTTTAATTGGCCCAAGTGCCGCGAGTAGCGCAAGGACGCGCAGCTTCCTCGCCTAGCTCTATCGGGAAAAATATTTTTCTAGCTGAAAGATCATCTCGTAAGACCATCGTTAATTATCTAAAAATTAGTCGAAGACTTTGTATTTTTCCTTTCTTCTTACTTTTCCTTTCTTTTTCTTAATTTCTTCCATTTTTTTGCTCTTTTTTCGAACCGTTATCAAGCACGGCGGAAGAACATAAAAGCGGTGCATAATAATCCAGCGATTAGACTGCACTTATCATGAAATACAAACGAATGAAAGAAATCGTTGTTTGGCAAATTTACGACTGGATATTGCCGTGCTCACAGTGCACCGTCATTATTTAAGTGCACAGTGTTGGCTTATCGCGAAATTAATGGCCGACTGGGATCTATATTTTTAATTCGCTGCAATTCGCAAGTGTTCTGTTTTTAATTCATTCCTCGATCTCGTAGCATTTATCTAGAAATGACGTGTGAAACGTTTTATTTTTTTAAATTAGTTCCGATTTATCATGGTTAATAAACTTTTCGAAAATTTCCATTACAATTGGTAAATAAATTCTTACAATAGTTTCCAAGGATTATAAAATATATTTAATTATAATTCAAAACGCTTCTGCTGATTGTATCTCTATTACCTATGCTCCAACCGAATGGAATTTCTATTTTTCCACGTCTTATTTTCAATTTCTGAAATTATATTTAAAAACTGTATTTTATCGAACTTTAATCAAACTCTACCTATGGTGACAAATAATTTGTAATCTTCATCTTCGTAATCTAAATACATTAACTCTATCACTATTTTCGATTCGAGGATCCACAGAACTTGACTCCTTTAACGAATTTAAAACGGAAGCTAGAGTATCTCTTAATCGATAGTCAATACTCGTATGACTACTTAACTCTTTATCGTATAGAGGAGACTAAGTTAGGTGCATAGACAAATACGAGGTTGGCGCCTAAAAATCTGGTACGAAGGAAAGTCAGCCGATTCGCAAAGACTGCTGACCGATTCAATGTTCCACTTGTCATACAGGATGCGATGGAATTCCTGATTGAACGAATCACACAACTGTTAATTACAAACAACCGAAGCAGTTTGTCAGGGAAAAAATTTCCATATTCTGGCGATACCATAGAAACCGAGCCAGGGTCTTAGGGACCAGGATCGTTATCGGCGGAACGCCTTTATTGTAACGTAATCAAATGAAATTTACCACGGTCAGTCGTGCCACTAAATCGATTTACCGATTACATCACAGACGACATGTCCTCGCCTCCACGGGATCATCGTAGCAGCGTTCCCTCACCGAACCTACCGATCGCTTCTTCCTGTTGGATCGTCGTTCGGTCTCCAACTTGGAGCTCTCCCTGCCTCGCGTGTTTCACGATAAATATTTGCGTGGCCGTGACGCTATCGTGGTACACGCTCGATTTCTCAAATCGTCCGAGTTTTATTTCCTCTTTTTGCGTCAGGTGGCAAGGCTTTATACTGTTTGATGCCTTCCCGCAAACAATGGTACCGACGAAAACATTAATGGGACACGACACCGGGAACGCACGGAGAGACGACGTTACTCGACGTTACTCGACGTTACTCGACGTTACACGCGATTCCGCACGACTGTGTACACGACTTTAAAGATCCCACGTCGGATATATAAATGTCGCACGATCTGCCAGACGATGCTCTTAAGCGATCTGCTGGCGTCGCAGATCGCACGCGTTCCAGTGCATTGGACACACGCACGCGTACGCACACAAGCGTTCGTCATCGTTGGTCCCGGAAGCTGTCCGCGTTGGACCAGGAAGTGGTGAAGACGAGACGAAAGAGATGACTACCAGAAATTTGGAAAAGATGCTCAGACTCGCCACATTGTCGAGGGTCCGTCTTTTACGGTATTGAATATGGTTTAAAGAGAATGTTTTATGGAATTGAGATTGGTTGAAACGTTTTAGTGCTTGGTTTCGTATGGTGTGATATATAGGTTGCTGTTCAACTGTATATTCCTTTATATTTATTGTTATGGGTATGCCATGAGTTTTCGCTAGCGCTATTAAATTTATCGAAATAACGAGTCTTCTGACTTTTCTAATTTTATCGTGCAATATTCAGGTGGTTTTAGGAAAATTAATTGTGACTTTCTTATAGGTAGAAATGCTAAACATTCCATATTGATCTTAATCAGTTGCTTATGTTTGTTCTATGGTTTTAATCAATTTTTCTGTCGATTTCATCATGCTTCGTCAGTTGGGAATGATAATTCGATAGAGGAGCGTGGTGTAAGAACTTACGACTAGTTTTGATAATAGAAATCGTTAGAAGTCTTAATTCCAAATTACTTGCTTTCAAAAAGTGTCTCGCAAGTGTATCAGTGAATGGATATGAGATAAAAATTCGTGAAACGAGAGATATAATTATAACATTCATTGATTTTTAGAACCAGGAACTTTTAGATACCAGTTTCTCTGCTAATTTATTATTCTTACTAGTTGCATTTATTTTTACTTCGTATGTTCATTACCGAACGTGTCGTAATTGCGTTAACTTCGTTTTATCCACATCGTACTGCGATACTTGGAAAAGTATACTGGCCTTTACCTCTTATCGACGTGACTCGATAAAAGGAGAATTATGGGTCAAAGACACGCAGCTAATAATTAAACAGATGATCAAAATCTGAGAAAGTTCGACGTCTCGTACGAAGTAACCTCTGAGTTGCGTGTTTCCTGTAAGAAATCCCGAGCATAAAGTTTTCACGTATTTGTATCCATAGTAAACTTTATCTTGAGCTGTCGTTGGAGCACGTTGAAGAAAGAATGCCATGCGGAAGGCCAAAGATGATCGTGTCAAGATCACGACGCATCATTTTCGAATCAGCATCGAGGAAGAAGAAGACGAAGAAAACAAAGAAGCTGAGAATTCTGCGACCAGGGAAACGGACAGAAGAATCTCGATCACGATAGAATCCGATTCTGAAATAGTGATCGGTGGACAAGGTCCTGGAATCGAAGGACTTCCGGTCGACGAGGAGGAGTCATCGTTCGCAAGGAGTCAGGCAACCAAGGAAATTCTGTCAGAGAGGTTGGTTGAAAGAAATTGGAATGAGCAAGAACGTAAAGTCCAATGCTCTGAGTTTAAGACGTCGAAAGACTCTGACACTTCGGAGAGTCGATCTGATGCTCAAAAGGAGGAAAGAGTCGATGAACTCAAGGATAAAAATTCGTTGGGTGACTCGAGGGAACGTAGAAAAATGGAGAAGACGCAAAGTAGTAGTTTGGAAAGTGAAACGCGGTCTTCGGTTACTTCCAACGAATTTTCCAGCGGTAGCCATGAAACTTCTGCTCCTGGGACCGAAAATTCGACCTCGTCGGCGACCAGCGTGGAACAGAAAGAGAACTTCGGCGTGCTTTATTCGAAGATCAAGTATTCCATCGGCGGAAGTTCGTACGAAGACGTAAATTCGATGAAGAAATTAGACCATGGTTTAAATTCGACTGTCAGTTTCCGTCCTGTCGTCGAGATCTCGAATCCTGTTACAGAGTCAGCGATCAACCGACATGGCTTCTTCCCGGCGCGCGAAATTTCGAGACCATCTGATCCGAATAGTTCCATCGAACGTAAAATGTGCGTTCAGGAGTTGCAACAGACGGAACTACAAAGTTCAAAGAGATTACTTAATCAACCGTCTGACAGAACTCACCCGGAATTAGCTACGGCGGAGATTCAAGAAAGTACGATAGTTACCCATTCAAACGTAGAATCGAGCAAAACGATTTCCCCAGTTTCAGCTTCTCCACTGTTCGTCAGACGATACTACAAAGTCATGTCCGCGTTCCCGAATTGCTCGACCAGTCTAAATGGAATTTCTCTCTCTAAAAAGGAAGAAGGTCCCTCTGAAACCCAGCATGAGTCCGTCACGAATGTAAGAGTAGATCTCGGAAACTCTGATAAAGTTCCGAGTTCAGTGAAGACACAGAGAAGACTGACGTTACCTATAACGAACATTGATTTGAATACGAAAGACGTGGCAAAATCTCCCACTTACGAAGACATATTATCAGGGACAAGCGTTAATCCTATCAGACGATCCAGTATCGCGAACGTAGCTATCTGCTCGAGCTTAGCACCCAGCTTACTAAGCGCATATCCAGGTATCCCGAACTGTTTGTTACCGTCCACGGACGAGAAAGAAGCTGAAGCATCGAACGTTTTGACGAATATCGGCGATCAGGTAGCCGGAAAGAGT